GTCCCAGCTACTAGGGAGGCTGAGGAACGAGAAATACTTGAACCCAGGAGACAGAGGTTGCAGTGAGCTGAGATAGCGCCACTACACTCTAGCCTGGGTGATAGAGTGAGATTCGGTCTCAAAACCAAAACAAAACCTTGAAATACACCAAATCAGAACCTCCTTAAAGCATAAATCTCACAGGACCCATAAAACAATAACACACTGAAAACCAACAAACAAACACAAAGTATTCAGGCAACAACAAACATAAGAAATAGAATAATACCTCCCTTTTCAGTACTAATGAATGTAAATGGCCTAAATGCTCAAATTAAAAGATAAGAATGGCAGAATGGGTAAGAATTCACCAACCAAGCATCTGCTGTCTTCAAAAGACTCACTTAACATATAAAGACTCACAGAAACTTAAGGTAAAGGGATGGAAAAAGATATTCCATGCAAATGGGCACCAAAAGTGAACAGGACTAGCTATTCTTACATGAGGAAAAAAAGGACTTTATAGCAACAACAGTTAAAAAAAGACAGAGGGACATTATACACTGATAAAAGGACTAGTGCACCAGGAAAATATTACAGTCTTAAATATATATGCACCTAACACTGGAGCTCCCAAATTTATAAAACAATTGCTACTAGACCTAAGAAATGACACAGATAGCAACACAATTATAGTGGGGGATTTCAGAACTCCACTGACAGCACTAAGCAGGTCATGGAGACAGAATGTTAACAAAGAAACAATGGACTTAAACCTTACCCTAGAAGACATGGACTTAACAGATATTTACAGAACATTCTACCTAAAAACTGCAGAATATACATTCTATTAATCAGTGCATAAAACATTCTCCTAAACAGACCATGTGATAGGCCACAAAACAAGTCTCAATAAATATAAGAAAACAGAAATTATATCAAGAACTCTATCAGACCACAGTGGAATAAAACTAGAAATCGGCTCTGAAAGAAACCCTCAAAACCATGCAAATACATGAAAAGTTAAATAACCTGCTCCTGAATGATCATTGGGTCAACAATGAAATCAAGATGGAAACTTAAAAATTCTTTAAACTGAATGACAAAAGTGACACAACCTATCAAAACCTCTAGGATACAGCAAAAATGATGCTAAGAGCAAAGTTCGTAACATTGAACGCTTACATTAAAAAGTCTGAAGGAGCACAAATAGACAATCTAAGGTTACACCTCCAGTAACTAGAGAAATAAGAACAAACCAAACCCAACCCTAACAGAAGAAAAGAAAAAAGATCAGAGCAGAACTAAAGGCAACTGAAACAAAAAAATAAAAAATATAAATAAAACAATAGCTGGTTCTCTGAAAAGATAAACAAAATTGATAGACCATTAATGAAACCAAAATTGATTAACCAAGAAAAGAAGAGATAAGATCCAAATAAGCAAAATTAGAAACAAAACGGGAGATATTACCACTGATACCACAGAAATACAAAAGATCATTCAAGGCTATTATGAATACCTTTGCACATACAAACGAGAAAATCTAGAGGAGATGGATAAACTCATGGAAACATACAACTCTCCTAGATTAAACTAGGGAGAAACAGAAACTCTGAACAGACCAATAACAAGTAGTGAGATTGAAAGAGTAATAAAAAATTTGTCAACACAAAAACAATCCAGGATCAGATGGATTCACAGCTTAATTCTGTGAGACACATTCAAGGAAGACTTGGTACCAATCTTACTGAAACCATTCCAAAAGATAGAGGGAATCCTCTCTAAATTATTCTATGAAGCCAGTATCACCTTAGTACCAAAACCAGAAAAGGACATAACAAAAAAAGAAAGCTACAGACCATTATCTCTGATGAACATAGATGCAAAAATCCTCAACAAAATACTTGCTAACCAAATCTAACAGCATATCAAAAAGATAATACACCCTGATCTAGTGGGCTTCTTACCAGGGATGCAGGGATGGTTTAATATACTCAAGTCAATAAATGTGATACATCACATAAATAGAATTAAAAACAAAATTCATTATGATCATCTAAATAGATGCAGAAAAAGCATTTTACAAAATCTAGCATCCCTTTAATGATCAAAACCCTCAGCAAAATCATCATGAAAGGAACATATCTCAAGGTAATAAAAGCATCTATGACAAACCCACAGCCAGCATTATACTGAACGGGGAAAAGTTGAAAGCACTGCTCCTGAGAAATGGAAAAAGAAAAAGATGCCTACTTTCACCCCTGCTATTCAGCATAGTACCAGAAGTCCTAGCCAGAACAATCATACCAAGAGATAGAAATAAAGAGCATCCAAATTGGTAAAGAGTAAGTCAAACTGTCGCTGTTCGCCAATGATATGATCATATACCTAGAAAACCCTAAGACTCATCCAAAAAGCTCCTAGATCTGATAAATGAATTCAGTAAAGTTTCAAGATACAAAATTAACGTACACAAATCAGTAGCTCTGCTATACACCAACAGCAACCAAGCTAAAAATCCAATCAAATACTCAATCCCTTTTACAACAGCTGCAAAAAAATAAAATATTTAGGAATATACCTAACCAAGGAGGTGCAAGATCTCTACAAGAAAAACTACAAAACACTGCTGAAAGAAATCATCAATGACATAAATGGAAACACACGTCATGCCCATTGTTCAGGGATGGGTAGAATCAATATTCTGAAAATGACCATATTGCCAAAAAGTAATCCATAGATTCTATGCATTTCTCATCAAAGTACCATCATCATTCTTCACAGAACTAGAAAAAAAAATCCTAAAATTTATATGGAACCAAAAAAGAGTCTGCGTAGCCAAAGCAATACTAAGCAAAAAGAACAAATCTGTAGGCATCACATTGTCTGACTTCAAATTATACTAGAAGGCAATAGTTACCAAAACAGCATGGTACTGATACAAAAATAGGCATATTAGATCAATGGAACAGAATAGAGAGCCCAGAAATAAACCCAAATACTTACACCTAACTGATCTTTGAAAAAGCAAACAAAAACATAAAGTGGGAAAAACATATCCTATTAATAAATGGTGCTGGGATACTTGGCAAGCCACCACCACTCAAGAATAATGAAGTTGGGTCCTCATCTCTCACTTTATACAAAAATCAACTCAAGATGGATCAAAGATGTAAATCTAACACCATAAACCATAAAAATTCTAGAAGATATAACAACATTGAAAAAACTCTTCCAGACACTAGCTTAGGCAAAGAGTTCATAACCAAGAACCCAAAAGCAAATCAATGAAAATAAAAATAAATAGATGAGGTCTAATTAAACTAAAAGGCTTCTGCACAGCAAAAGAAATAATCATCAGAGTAAACAGACAGCCCATAAAGTGGGAGAAAATATTCACAAACTATGCATTCTACAAAGGACTAATATCCAGAATCTACAAGGAACTCATACAAATAAGCACACAAAAAAATAAATCCCATCAAAAAGTGGGCTAAGGACATAAATACAAAATTCTCAAAGATACACAAATGACAAAAAAACATGAAAAAAATGTTCAACATCACTAATAATCAGAGATATTCAAATTAAACACACAATGAGATACCATCTTACTCCTGAAAGAATTAGCCATAATTTAAAAATAAAAAAAAATAGATGTTGGCATGAAATAGGAATGCTTTTACACTGCTGGTGGGAATATAAACTAGTACAACTATGGAAAACAGTGTGGAGACTCCTTAAACAACTAAAAGTAGAACTACCATTTGATTCAGCAATCTCACTACTAGGTATCTGTCCAGAGGAATTGAAGCACTTACACATGCATATTTATAGCACCTCAGTTTGCAATGGTAAAAATATGGAACCAGCCTAAATGCAAATTAACCAATGAATTATTAAGAAAATGTGGCGTGTATTTGTGTGCGTGTATACACCATGAAATATTACTCAGCCATAAAAAGGAACAAAATAATGTCATTCACAGCAATCTGGATGGAGTTGGAGACCATTATTCTAAGTGAAGTAACTCAGAAATGGAAATCCAAACATCCTATGTTCTCACTTTTAAGTGGGAGCTAAGCTATGAGAATGCAAACGCACAACAATAAAATAATGGATTTTGGAAACATGGGGGGAAGGGTGTGAGATAAAAGACTACATACTGGGTACAGTGTACACTGCTTAGGTGTCAGGTACACCAAAATCTCAGAAATAACCACTGAAGAACTTATTTGTGTAACTCTAACCACCTGTTCCCCAAAAACTATGGAAATAAAATTTTAAAATAAAGTAAGCACTGATGAACAAGAAAAATAAAAGAAAAATCATGGTGGTCAGCTCTATGACCACTTGAATGGGAGGCTCAATAGAATAGTAAGCTGAGTAGATTAAAAGAGAAGTCTAAAACCAGTTCTGCCACTATGCAGCTAATGGACCTGTACCTCTTCAATATATTAGGGCTAGTATATGTCCTACTTAATCTTGAATGATACTAAAATGGAATAAGATGAAATACATAAGAGTAGTTTTAATAAAGCAGAAAGATCAAGTGTGTGTGTGTATGTGTATAAATACATATATGTAGTTAGTATGCATGTCTGTGTATTTGGCTTTTAGCTTCTTATTCTGAATCAGGAGTTTCAGTTTAATAACTTAAGTTGCATCACTATAAAAAATAGGCCAGTTTCACTTACAAACCCTGTATGCCCAACATAACCAAAAAAATGAAATCACAGACTCAATAAGGAAAAGGAGAACAGTTATTTGGTGTAGGCAACTGATTTTTAAGATTTTACTATTTGTTAGAAAAATATACAAGAGCATTTCTATCCTTCAAGAAAATCCTTGGAATTTTGCAGATAGTAGAGGGTTTCTCAAAAGTTACTACAAAATTAATCATCTCCACATAAATGTATATATATAACCTGGTATGACACCTGACAGGGTAAATGACAGACAAATAATATGTTGAGGAAATGTTGCTGACCTAATTCAACTTTATTACAAATACCTACCTTTTCTTCCAGTTTCTTCTTCTCTTCACTAAATAGGCTTAGTTTTTGTTTGAGAAACTCATTAAGCTGTAAAACTTCTTTCTCAGTAGATGTACGCTTTTGCTCAAATTCCCCTTGTTGGGGATGGGAAACTGATTTCTCTGAAAATGGTGTCTGGAGTGAAGTGTTCTCATATTGTGGCTATTAGGAAAGAAAAAAAGAAAGTAAGACTTTAAAAGCTTGTCTTCAACAAATGGGAAGAAATTGGAAATGAAGTATAATATTAAGAGTACATATAGGCTGTATGAACAGATACACCTTGATTTAAATTCCAGCTCTCTTGCTTCCTAGTTATGTATCATAATTTAAGCAAATTACTTACCACCTCAAAACCCCGGTTTTCTCATCTCTAAAACAGAAACTATAAAGTCTACTTTGCAGTGTTTTTTGAAGATCAAGTATATAAGGTTCCCAGCACATAGGAGAAACTTCATGAAAGACAGCTATTATTTAGTTGAAAAGTATATTTCAACATGTAAATAGTACATTATATATATTAATCACATAAAAGTCAAAGTTCTAGGTAAATAAATAAAAACTAAAGAAAAATTTCTTCACAGGTAATCATTTTCAGCTAATACTAAATTCAATATGCATTAATAGAATGTTTCTCTAACTAGAAAGTAAGATCCATGAATCAGGAATTCTTGTCCATCTAAAGGTGTCCATCTTATATTCCCTATTGCAAAGAAAAATGTCTAGCACAAAGTAAGCACTCAAAAAATAACTTTTGAATGAATAAATGTAGTATTAATTCTATGACCAAGGCTTTGAAGGAAACTCTTTTCAAGGGGAAGATATTCTCTCTCCCCCATGTAGGATTAAAACCTGGAAGAGGAAGGGAGGAAATACAAATATTCTTCAAACAAATCAGAATGTGGTAAGTGCTGTAAAAGATATCAACAAAGTACTGTAAAAGCAAAGAAAGAGGTTATTTTTCCATTTCTTCAAAAGGTATTTACTAAGCACATATGTTAGGCATTGTGCTAGGTTTTGGGGAATCAGTTAATAAAATAAAGTCCCACCAGTTTAATGTGTCACACATACAAAAAAGATTTAAAAAAAAGACAATGGAAACTAAGTGCTAAGATAGTTGTATGTGCAGTAGCTAAAGGAGGGTGTTACAGAGGTAAACTTGAACTAGGCCTTGAAGAACTGATACTTTCCCAAAAGGTAGGCATGAAATTTAACTATTACATAAATAGCATTTATCATGTGCAGGCTATTTCAAAGATGGCAAACTCACACTTTACAAACTCAAATTTTAATCAGAGGCACAAGAGAAGCCCTTAGATGATTATAATATAAAACATAATTAATATGGTAGACAAATAAAGGCCATGTTAAGTACAGAGTACTGGGAGGAGGTAGGATACATGAAGACATTGAGAGAATGAGGAAAAAGGCTTTTCTGGAGTGGCAGCTTTTAAGACAGATTTTGAAAAATAGGGAGATTCTGGCAAGAATGGAAAAAGGAACAAAGGCATTCTAGAAAGAACATTTTCAAAAAGGTAAAAAGTATATATACAGAGTATCATGTCATGTTTACAGGTTTCAAGAGGGCATAATAAAAGGGAAAACTTAAAAATCTAAATTGCACCCTTCTTGTAGAATTCCAGGAATTGCGAATTTGGCTTTGTGAATCTCTGTGTTCCCTGGCATTCAGTCTAGTGTCTAGAATCTCAGCAAGTCTGATGAAAGGGAAGAGAAAAGAGGAAAAAGACAAGAGAGTGCTAGAAAAATAGGACAAAGCTAGAAGAAGTGAACAAGATTCACTGAGAATGAATATGGATATATCATTTAAAGAAATTATTCTAATTTAGCTGAAAAGAAACAAGAAACTGAAATAGAGCATTGAGAACAGAATGAAGAACTTGAAGCAGAGTGAGAGAATTTTTAAAAAATGATTGTTGAAGATGTGAATGGAAAATAAATGTTAAAGATAACCAAGGTTTTAAGATTTTGAGTCTAAGTAACATGGAAGATTATATTCTGGGTAGAAGTAAACATACAGAAGAACAGTAGGTTATATTTAAGCAGATATACTTAATATAATTAGAGTCTATGATTATGATTTCAGTCGAACATACAAGTAAGATGGACATTAGGCAGTTAGAGAGGTAGATATGGAACTCAGGAAGACGGCTAGGGTACAAAACTATAAAACTTAATAAAGACTTCCAGTTTCTAACCCGGCATGTAAAGAGATCAGAAGTCGCCACTTGGTCCATAAATAAATAGCTGAAAAAACTGAAATATCAACAAGTCTTCTAAAATTTATCAGAGAAATGCGGTCACAGGGTAAGCTGCTGCCTCCAAAACTGCAAAAAAGGACAGGTAGAAACAGAGGATCATAACCTAATAAAACAAAAACCCATAAGCAGAAGACCCAGGGTAGGAAAGTCTGTAACTAATAAATTGCTAGAGGCTTGGAGTAGACAAATCTGAGAGTTAAAAATTCCAAGGGGATACCATCCTACAGGAGGCCTCCATATTTCCGTGAGTTTTACCTCCAGGATTTCTACAAGATCCTCAGTGAGTATCAGAGAAAAATTCTCTCCTGTTTCTGGCAGGAGGAGGGAAAAAGGAACCATTAAAAATATGCCAGAACATTCTGTGCTTATGCCTGCCCTCAGGAGAAACTATTTTACCAGAGCCTGAAATGCTGGGGTTTTATCAGAGCTTAACCTAGTTGGGGTAAAGGAAATAACCCAACTCCAGACAACTCCAGCCATCCACATAGAGGAAAGTTACTACAAAAATCAAGCTTCTTTGGCCTTCCCTGTGGAAATACCAACTCCATCACCCTCCCGCCATCCTGTCCTACCTAAGGGTAGGGAAAGATAAAAATCTTAGAAAACTGAAGTTCACAATCCAGAGGAATATATTCACCAAAAGACTGAGACCTAATCATAGGACTAAAGAATACTTCCCCTTCCCTGCACTCTTTACCACTGCATTACTAAAGCTCTATTTACCATGCTTATTAACTAGGCCATCGTGTCAACTTACAACAAAAATTACAAGGCACACAAAAAGGCAAAAAACTCAGTTTGAAGAGACTGAAAAGCATCAGACACACAGTCAGATATGGCAAGAATAACAATTATCAGACCAGGAATTTTTGACAACTAGAATTAGTACAATTATGATAGAAAATGTAGACAGCATACAAGAACACAGAGATAATGTAAGCACAGAGATAAAAACTGTAGAAAAGAATAAAAAAGAAATGCTGAAGACTGAGAACACTAACAGAAATGAAGAATGCCTTTGAGGAACTCATTAGGAAAGTAGACCCAGCTGAGGAAAGAATTCCTGAACTTGGGGATATGACAATAGAAACTTCCAATACTGAAAAAGAAAAAACATAACACAATGTACAAGAACTGTGAAAAAAACTACAAAAGGTATAGATACATGTAATGGGAATAGTAGGAGAAGAAATAGAGAACAGGTGCTGTATTTGAAGCAACAATAACTATTTCCCCAAGTTAACATCAGACATCATATTACAGATCCAGAAAGGTCAGAAAACACCAAGTAAAACAAATTTGAAAGAAAAAAAAAAAACACAACTAGGCATATTACAGTTAAACCTCAGAAAAGCAAAGATAAACTCCTGAAAAAAGCCAGAGTAGGGAGGAAACCTTACTTATAGAGAAACAAAGGTAAGATTTACATCCAACTTTGCCTCAGAAACCATGTAAACATGGAGAGTGTTGAGAGAATCAAACCAGCAGCCTAGAACTCTGTACGGCCAGGGGTCCCCAGCCCATGGCCTATTAAGAATGGGTTGCACAGCAGGAGGTGAGCAGTGGGTCAGCAAGTGAAGCTTCATCTATTTTTATAGCCACTCGTCATGGCTAGCATTACCTCACAAGCTCCGTCTCCTGTCAGATGAGCTACAGCATTAGATTTTCATAGGAGCATGACCCCTATTGTGAACTGTGCATGTGAGGGATCCAGGTTGCACATTCCCTATGATAATCTAATGTCTGGTGGTCTGAGGTGGAGCTGAGGTTGTAATGCTAGCACCAGGAAGTGGCTGCAAATACAGATTAACATTAGCAGAGAGGTTTGACTGCACAGAGGACATAACAAATCAATTGCTTGCACATTCATATTGAAGCACTATCAGTGAGTGACAAGTAACAATTAAGCTTCATCTAGTGGCAGTCTTTATAGTGGCAAGTGAGTTGATGTACTTCAATTATACAGTTGCGTCTGGTGGCAGGCTTTAGCTAGAATCCAACACTTACTTTAGCCTGAGTAAGGCCTGCTCATTATTTTATTTCCCCCTTCCATCCATGCCTCTTTCCTACACTGTGCACTTGTCTCAGTCACAATCTTGGTAAGCCCACAAGCTAACCCTAGCTTACATGAATAAAAAGCAAATGTCACTGGAGAGCTTCATCAAAAGAGGGAAAGACATAATGATGAGACGGCAGAAGACTCTAAGACTGCCAACAAGAAGAAAGGTACATTTAAAAGAAAATACCAAGAGTCTTACTTAAATTATGGGTTCATTGCAACTGGCGATTGACATTCTCCAAGCCCACTTTGTATATGTGGTGACCGCTATCTAACAAAGCCGTGAGACCTTCAAAACTAATTTGTACCAGGGACACCAGGCACCCTGCATTAAAAGACTTTGGAGTTTTCAGAAGAAAAAAAAAAAAACATGACTACAAAGAATAGAAGCAATTATTGAAGGCCACTACATCATCAAATGTGCCTGCACTGACAGAATCATTCCTAGTGGCTAAAGCTAGGAAGTCTAAAATGGTTTGACTGTATCACCACCCAAATCTCATCTTGAACTGTAGTCCCCATAATCCCTATGTGTCATGTGAGGTAATCCCAATTACCCAGTGACAGGTAATTGAATCATGAAGGCAGCTACCCCCATGTTGCTATTCTTGTGACAGTGAATGAGTTGTCATGAGATCTGATGGTTTTATAAGGGGCTTTCCTGCCATCATGTAAAGAAGGACATGTTTATTTCCCTTTCTGCTATGATTGTAAGTTTCCTGAAGCCTCCCCAGCCATCCAGAACAGTGAGTTGATTAAACCTGTTTCCTTTATACATTACTCAATCTCATGTATTTCTTCATAGCAGCATGAGAACGGACTAATAG